TTCCAAAATTAACACGATGGTCGGAGGGATTTGGATTTGGAAACAAAAAACTTGCATTCTTTGATCGGATGGAAAACGAAAACTGAAAAGCCGATAGAGAGAGAGATGCATGTGTTCAAGACAGGTTTTCCCTCGCGGTCTTTCGCACCTTTGATGTTGGTTTTTAATGCTTTCAAAAAAATAAAAAAATAAAGGGGGGTTGTCCATCCAATAAAGTCTATGAGAATTTGATTTCTTATAATCGAATTCATGGAATTTTTTCCCAACTTTAGGCGCGGCCCGGCCCGGCGAATGATCAATCAAGTGCAGCATCAGTGGAGGCAGATGAATACCTAATGAGTACGGGTAGGACTGACTGACAAACAGACAAACACACCCATCCGCGTGTACATTTGTGCATACATATACCCACAGTCGTAGACCCAAACTGGTTTAATTGATTCAAATGAAGACGACGGCGACGACGACTCTGCTGCGATGATGTTGAATGACGTTTGTCCGGCTTAGGCTTTTGTTGCCTTTTATACCGATTTCAGTAATATGTAAATCGAACTCCCCCCGGTAGCAGTCCCCCCCCCTGACCCTCTATCAAAACGTCAAAATAGAAAACTTGCAAATCACATGCAACAATTGATGTCGATTGTTTGCCGCTGGCGTGTCATGCAACGTTTTGTGCTCACCCTTTTGTGGCTGCACTCGTGTTGTATGTTTGTGTTTATAATTGTCTCAGATCTCAGATGCAACCACATGCCCCCTCTAAATCCCCCTTTGAATCCCCCTTTGTGCTTGCCGTTCACTTGTCAGTCAGGGGCGTTCGGTGCCCCCTCACATTGAACCCAACAATAACCTTTCGTTGCACTCGCACACCTGACATAAAGGTAGTTGAATGCTTGAGATTAATACGATCATACAGATTTTAGATTGGCTTTTAGGGGAGATGAAAAACAGTAAAATATTACTTATTATTGTAATATTATAATATTATGTATTAGTATATTATAGTTGCAATCGTCCATAAGAAAGTTGTCCTGTCAAAGATATCATTTAATTGCTGTGTAAAATGGTAGGCAATTGGCAAGATTACTTGTTCCTATCAAAGTACCCATAGTTAGATGTTCTATTATTAAGTATTTAAATAGATTAAGCTGTTAAGTTGTAAACCTAAATGATCAATTTACTTGTTCTGAAAAACCTTTGTATCTCTAGTTTTCAAGTTGTGATTGAAGGAGGAGAAATGTAATGAGGCCAATGATCATTAAAATGTATACTATTTATTGAAACCGTTCAGTTTCATAGTTAAATCAAGTTTACATTGTTTTTAATTTGCGGTCGATTGGGTTCACTTTTAATACATAAGATTAGCAAGCGAAATGAATCAGTTTTTTATATATGTAGAAATTTAATCATTACAAAAATATTTTAGGTCCATTATTCACCGCCATATAAGTACTCAATGGGTACAATGAGTAAGGGCATTAAAGAATCAGCTTATTGCTCTCATTTTGTAGTTTAATTCTGCGGTCAAAGTTGGCTGACAGTTCCCATCCGAATGTCAATTGTGGCTGGGCCCCGTCTGCCCTTCTGACTTTGAGTTGTTTTCCATTCAATTATTAAAATTAGCCCGGCTCGCTAATTGTTGAAAGATGCAATTAAAGCTGCTCAGACCAAGTCGGAGACAGATGTAGAGATAAAAGTAGTTAAATATCGATAGAGGGTTCTGGGTTCTAGAGAGTCACACAATCTTTTGTCCCGAAAACCCAAAATCCTAGGCGGGACAGGTAGTGAGATTTTTCTTGTGTGTTGGGAAAGGCATTAAGATATTACCGAACCACCCTCGAATTTCGACGGACGGAAGTCGGTGCGGTCATAAATACCTAATCTTTATGGACAGTGGGAATCAAAGAACTTGACTTGTTTATGCCTCCTCGATCCCCTCCTTGTCCACTGTCCGTGTCTTTATCCCACCACTAATTACTTGTCTCGGTCTGCTGGGGCATAACAAGCCAGACATTCCGCGCCATTTCATTCCATTCCATTCCTTAACTCAAGATCAGGATAAGATGTTTTGAGAGTTCGGCGTGTAAATGCCTGTAAAGTCCTGTCCTCCAAAGGCATTCAAATGCAAAAGGTAGAGCAGCGAAGCCACTAAATAAAATCATTAAAAATAATGAACGCACTTCCGTTGCAATTGTCGGGGTCTTAGAACTCCTCTACACAACATTAAAATGAAGCAGCCGAGGGGAGAAGCCGTCTTTGCGGCTTACACAGAAAGAAATATTTGAAATTTGATTTTGGCCTCCTTTTAATAATTCCATTGATGCTTTTGAAGGCAAATTTATTTTATAAATGTATCTTTGTCTATATCTACATGATATTGTAATCACCTTATCAGGAACATTTCATACACTTTAAATACATTTTTTTTCTGGGTGTAGTTGAATATTCTCGTAGTATGCCGCACAAATTAAAAGGTAGAAATGTTCCCTCCCCGAAACCCAGATCCCAACTCGTTGTCGAACTCGTTGTTGGTTGTTCGGTGGTTTAGTTGTTGGTTGTTCGGTTGTTTGGTTGTTCGACTGTCGTGAGTGGCTCGGCAATTGCAATTACATATGTACGATTGTTCTCAGATGCCGCTGAGGCCCAAAAGGAAAACGATGTGGGGGCATGTTGAAACGGAAATAAAACTCACTCCTCCCTGGCCGTAAAAACAAAGGCACTGCTGGTTACTACTTGATTGTGGGGGCTGGACGACACATATAAATTATCAACGACGCAGCCCCGGACCTAAACTCGAATCAAATCCCAACCCATTGCCGGTGGAACCGGGCCTGGGTCTCTAGTTATGCATAGATACAGATACAGAATCAGAATCATGAAGGTTGCTGCCTTAAAATGGGTTCCGATACACAGGTACAGCCTACGCCGAATGGAGCTCATCGTTTATGCAATTGGTTTATGGGCCAGATATTTTATACTTTATTGCAATCGATGTGGACGAGTTGGGGTTGAGTCGTGAGGAAAGTGCGAAACTGGAACACTTGGTGGAGCAGAAAGAAACTTTGTAACACCATGAATATATAGTGAATATCTAGTTTTATTTGAAAACTATTAAAATTCTAATCAGCTGAATCTAGAAATCTTTTGAAAATTTCGAAGGAGAACCAGATCTTTTTGATGTATACAAGATCTAGGTGGAATTCCAATAGAACTAACTTATTTTATAGGACTGGAAATAAATCAGTTTGTTCAAGGGCCTCAAGACCTGTAAACTAAATTTAATTATTTACTTTAGTTTTACGTCAACGGAAAATCAGGTGTGACGATTTCCCAAGGTCGAGTCGCAATCATTACTCAAAAAATGCTTTTCGTCTGGGAAGTTATTTGCCTACAATAATAATCACATGTAAATATATTAAAGGTCGAACTTTAATCAATCTTTACATAGCCTTTCCTATGGTCATAAACGGCTGGGTAAACACCATCAGTCACCCAACATTCTTGACCACAGAATGATTGATGGAGATATCGGCAATATTCTAGGTGAACTATTATGTTAATCGATTGTAAAATTCAAATTTAATGCTCGAATCAACCTTTAAAGCTCAAACCTGTTGAGCGGCCGTAATACCATTGAGACACATTACCCCGGCGTGCATTTTCCATTTCTAACAGTCGAATCCCCGCCGGGAATAACATGTCTGGGGTTGTGTCGGGTCTCCAAATTGATTTACCATTCCGGGTGCCATCATTATATTTGACCCAATTGCTCGCGGGGAAGTGTGACACATTTCTGGTGGCAAAGATCAATTTGGCTTGGCTTTGGCCACTGGAAATGGACCACAATGTGGCCGGTTCCGTCGCATTAGTTTCGCCGCTGAAAGTTAACTGGGAATCGGAATGGGAATGGGAATATAGAAAATATAGGAATGGATCTCTGGAGTGTGGCGCGGTATAGTTGTTGTTCGTCCGTTTGTTTACCCAACTGTTGAAACAGTGGCAAAGTGCGGAATCATGTTGCGGCATTGTTTGGCCGGGCATTTCTAGTTTGTTTTTCTTTCTTATTTTAAAGTGAATCTTTTCCTATTAGCCCTACTCTCTTCTGTGTTATTTACCCAATGACGACAGTTGTCGACATCTTTGAATGGCGCTTGGCCAAGAGACAAAAAACAAGGTCAGGCCCAGAACTTTCGAAAACAAAACGAATCAGAGGAAACAAAAAACAGAGGAGTTATGCCGAATCGGCGGGAGAAGAAACAATTAGTCAGGGAGGGGCCCATTCGCAATTTGTATCTGTAACCGGGAGATATTCGCGCTTTTTCACACTACTCTTCTGGGCTCCGAGTTCTGGGTTAACGTCAGCGTTAACTTTAACGTTAACCCGTTTGCCAGGCCAATTACCCCGCCCCATGAGCCAACATGAATATCGCTTAAAACAGAATAAAAGTGCCTCGACAATTGCTTGATTCATGACTAAAACAGCTGGAGAAAGAGGAAACCGAAACAACCTACATAAAGTATCTCTGCCTTTCTGCCGCTCTGTATCTTGTATCTTGTATCTTGTATCTTCTATCTCGAAATGTAGCTCTCTGTGACGCATCTGCGATCCCAGTGGAGAACTGCAGCTTGAAGTTGCCTCCGGTCTGTGGTCTCTCGTCTCTGGTCTCTTGGCGCTTGATTGCTCTTGATTGGCCTTTGTTTTTCGCTTTTTCTCCCATTGTGCAAGCTTTGATTTCGCCTCGCGTTTTGATTTGATTTCGATTTGTGTCTGGGCGAGTGTTTATTTTCATTTTCAATAAATCGCTCTATAATTGCACTTCCACTGGAGGGGGGACGATGGGGTATTACCCAACCCAAACCCCCTCGATGTGAAAGCTGCCATCAAATTATCTTATTTCACGAGGCGTGTGAAAAAATTTTTGATCTTCGCATTTCCAAATTGATATATCTTTTGTATTTTCTTCAAATATTTTAATAGTTTCTTTTGTTTATCTCTCTTCCAGGCCATTCCGCAAAGCACACACCTTAAGCTCTTCAAGATTTGTGGATGTTTTCAGGTAACTATAAAAATGTTTTTGTATAAAATTCCCAAAACTTAAGGAGGGAAAAGGAAAGAGGGAGAGGACTAAAAAACAAGTGTAGATCACCCATGACTTGTATTGTTTAGTCCACGTCCCCCGCTCGACGACTGTAGTTAAGTGGTTCGAACACACTATTCATAACTCGCGGCCCATTAAAGCTGGAGGCACGCAAACTTTCGCACGGCTCACTGCTCGCATTGAGAACCTTAAATATGGGTCAATTACTCTATAGAGTGTGCGAGAGGAGGAAAAAAAAGTTCTTACATAACTGTTGACGTAGTACAATTTAGTGGTCGTAAAGCATCCTACAACTGCGTTATAGGGTATGCAGAACTACTATTAGTTTTAATTTTTTAACATTTTAGGTACTTTAAATCTTTCACCACAGATCTCTTTTAAAAAGTTAGAATTTTTGTACCACTGAGTAACCTTTAGTCGTGACTAAACTCCACCTGCTCGCTAGATTTAGCTTTAGTTCAGTTCTAATTGCCGCTAGTCATACCCGTATTCGCATATGGAGCCAGGGGACTGGAGCCTAACTGTTGAGTGGCAGTTAAATGCTAATTTGCCGAGCTGACTGACCGTTGCTGACTGCCGTCTTTGGTTTTACAGCTCTCGAATGCTTACTGCCTTTCAGCGCAGAATCGGTGGTGTTTCTGAGTGCCTCTTAATTGCACCGGGAGACCCATTTGAGTTGAGTTGGCCCTTTTAGCCGGCCTGTTTTTGTTTCTGCCAGATCGATTGCGGGTCCACGCACATGAATTGAGGTCGCCAGAGATCAACGATCTGTATCTGTATCTCTACCTGTTCGGATCTGCTCGTGTTTTTGCTGAACTTTAGCTGATCGGTACCTTTTGTGCGATTCCGAACTCTGACAAAAAATCAGATCTTAATGCAAAACTGTAACGTTATTATATCAAAAAGATATTTGTGTTTTTGGTCTTCATGCTCGGCTGGCTGGCTTCAATAAATCCTCGGATTTCACAACATTAAAACTGCATTCGATCATTGTTTCGTGATCGGGCTATAACAATGTGAATTTGTCAACGGAAACGATCTGCGACAACGGCAGCCACGACGAACAATTGCTCACATGCAATGAATATAATTTGTTTAGATCATAAATTTGCGTCATTTTCGGCCCGGCAGTGGATCTATCTGTTGAAACCTATCCGCTAAAATATAGAAATACTTACTCGCAATAACCTTTAATTGCACAATTTCCCTCGCTGATCTATCGCAATTAACTGGAAATCCTATTCCTCAATGCTTAGCCTAACTAAGCGGATTTGTCAAATCGCCTTAATAAAGTAAATCGGTCCACTGATCACCTGAAATAAAATCAAGTTTAAACTAAATCATGACTACATTACGTAAGCTGGTAAATAAAATACGAACTTTGAACTTGGGCAAACAAAACAAAACAATTCGGATGGCCAAGCCCGCCAATTTATTGACAGTTTTGAATAATTTTTCGCTCACATGTATGTAAATTTGAATTGGTAAACAACCTTAACAATGAAACGCTGAATGACAAAATATGGTGTAATAAATCAATCAAAGTTGGGTCGTTGCCAGTATTATTATTAAATGAAATTTGAATATGAGCAAATAATGAACAAATAATTATTTTAGGTGACGTATTTTCTTATTTTTCCAATCAAATTTTTAATTAGCTGTTGCTTTATAAAATATCTTAAAAAAACAGAAATCTTATAGATTGTGAGACTTTCCACTTTCCTTGCAAATGAAATCTTAGCTTCACTTTTACTCATCACGAAAAGAATCTGAAGCTGGAGTAAAAGTTTGATGGTGTATCTTATTCTCCGCTTAATTTCCACTTGTGTTTTTGCATAAAACTTTATGTCGCCGCACATGGACTTCTTGGCTTGGCTCGGAAGATATTTCGGACTTGGTTTTCACCTGGCCGCGGCACGTAGCCATTTGGATAGACATTTGACACATCATCGCCTGACATGTCAGGCCCTCGTTTTTGGGCACAGTGAGAGTTTTTCCCCCTCCAGCTGGACGCACAGAAAATTCTTGCAGTAAAAGTAAATGCGATACGAGAAGAAAACGAGCTCAAGTTCAGACAGCAGGTGGCAAATTGTTTTGGCACATGCCAAAAGCAAAGAAAACGGCCAAAACGATTGGCCGGACCAGCTTAGAGCCAGACCTGTCTGGATTCGCCAACAAGATAAAAATAAAACCATTATAAATTCATTAACCAACAAAATCTTTGATAATTATGGCATGGCCAAGGGGAAGAAGGAGGCGGGCTTCTATAATTTTTCGTGAAATGTGCGTCAGCAAAAAAAAAAACAAACAGAACCGAAAAACATTTCTTTATCCCCAATCTACGCGATTCGTTTGATCTGGACAACAAACTAGCCAAACCACAAAATGGCAAAAAGTGCCTTAGGTGATAAGTTCATTTATTTATCTGCTATTCCTGCGCTTTTTTCTCTTAATTTTTTATCCGACGCGTGCTTCTTAAGTTCTGTGTTAATTCGTAATAATTAATTTGAGAATGAGAATGTGCAGAAGCCGCAAATGAAGCGAGGCTAATAAATTATTTATGAATCTTGGACACGACAAGGGAAGACCGGAATTTCCCAGATACAAAGAAAACACAGTTTGCAAACGTTTCTAAGAAATAAAGGTGGCATTTAAATTAATTTAAAAACCCCGTTCATGTGGTGGCTTAGATTTTATTTGCATCTATTTTGGTATTTTAGCTCATTTTAAGTTTTTTAGAAACCCGTTTTTTATAGTAATATTCCCCAGTTTTAAGGAGTTGATAATTTAATTCTGATATAATTTCATTATTTCTTTTCAATATTTTATAATTTTGTTCTGAGGACTGTCATATAAATTGGTTTTGTTTACTTTATAGGCCTCGTAAATTCACTGTTTGTTAATTTGAATACCCCTCACTATTTACTCTTCAATATAATTTATTGCCATTTTTTTTAAGTTGCCCACATTTTGCGGGGTTGGCTTTCGATCGTTGCGCTGGCTGCACAATTACTTAGCCAAACGAGTGAGGCAACTTCGGAATACCTCAAATTGCATTTAGCCAAACACGGAAGATGCCACCCTACTCACATATTTCGCCGCAAAAGTTGCGTGTGCATTAGACTGGGTTTGTGTGCCTCGAAATCGCATTCGATGCAATTACAACTACGGCAAATCGCTTGTCACGGAGCTCCGTTTACGCTGTTTAATAACCGGAACGGGGTCTCTAAATATAAAATCTTAAATAAAAATGGCAAAAACAAGTCGAAAATCCATTTTATCAATAACCTTTGTCATGTCATTTATTTTTATCGCATTACTTAATTCTTACTTTGGCTTATAATGTTTCTATTTTTACATGGTAAGCCGTGAGTTTAATTTGCCTTCGAATGGTGATTTTTCCATTTCTAGGGGAAACTGCGCACTTGTAAAATGAAAAGGGTTCTGACGTGGTTTCAAAGTGACGGATTATTACTCTTGACTGACTTTAGACTTGCTTCAAACTAAATATCTAATCAGGTAATCGTGCAATGGTGGTTTAAAAACGCTTATTAAATAAGTATAGCCCACGGGTCAAACGGGAAACAATAATTTATTCTCCGGAATTACCTATCGGTATTTTTCATGATCAGTTTCAAGTTCAGTTTTCAGTTACCAACAAATTTGGAACTGGCCCACTCTATGTATTACAAATATTTAATTTTGAGGTGTTGATGAAAGTAGTCTTATTCCAGTATCGTCAATAAATATTTACCTTAGTGATTAATGTAATTAGTTTCCAATAATTAACATAAAGCCTTATTTACAGGTCCTAAAAGAACTTACTATTGACAGAACGTCTGAACCTTTCGACCAAATTTGCATAGTATTATCTCGCTTTACTTAATCCATTAGCCTCCATCAATGAAATGGACTGATTTGTGTTTTAGCGTAGTGCCAAAAGTCGCATTATCAACGCATAAATCAAAAGCAAGTCACTTAATTTCTTTTTTTTTTATTAAAAAAAAAATTTTTTAATATTTTTTAAAAAATTTAAAAAAATATAAAAAAAATTTTTTTAATTTTTTTTTTTTTTTTTTTTTTTTTTTTTTTATCACCAGCCGCTTTCTTTTTTTTTTTTTTTTTTTTTTTTCTTTTTTTTTTTTTTTCTTTTTTTTTTTTTTTTTTTTTTTTTTTTTTTTTTTTTTTTTTTTTAAATTTTATAAAAATAAAAATAATAAATTTTTTTTTTTTTTTTTTTTTTTTTTTTTTTTTTTTTTCTTTTTTTTTTTTTTTTTTTTTTTTCCCCCCCCCCCCCTCCCCTCCCCCCACACTAATTAATTTTTTTATTTTTTTTTTTGCCCTTTTTTTTTTTTTTTTTTTTTAAATTTTATTTTTTTTTTTTTTTTTTTTTTTTTTTTTTTAAAATAATTTATTTTTTTTTTTTTTTTTTTTTTTATTTTTTAATAAAATATTTAAAATAAATTTTTTTTTTTTCTCTCCCCCCCCCTCTTTTTTTTGTGTTTTTTTTTTTTGGGGGGCCCCCCCCCCCACACGGGGTTCCCCCCCCCTTTTGGGGGGGGGGGGGTTTTTAGTGGGGGGGAAAACCCCCCCCTTTAGGGTTCTCTCTTGTTTTAATTTAATTCGTTTCCATTGTGCCATACATTTTATGAAACTTTTTTGTTGCTTTCCGAATTGCTTTCGGAATTTGGCAATTTTTCCTTCGAATTAATTTCATGCGCATTTGCTTGCATTGAGTTCGAATTATTTTGGTTGAGCTTACTTATTTATTATTTTTCGTTATTGAAATTGGAATGGCAAGTGGAATTTGTAAGCAATTTGAACGTTAATTGAAATTCAATTCAGGTCCAAGAGAAGAGCAGGCGAGGTATACAAAAAACAATTTTGCGCCAATTACAATGCAAAATATCTACGTTTATTTTTGTGCGATGCATTTAAATTATTTGAGTAATGACAAA